ATTCCATCACATAAAATTTCTATAAGACTCCCAAATTAATTTTCTTTTATAATAAATGCTTACGAAAGTCAATTCAACAAATAAATTAATCCTAACGATATTTTTGGAATTTTTAAAAAAGGAAATCAACTTAAATTCGAAGACAAGTTAATCTCTATAAATAATGTTATTCATCTACCCAATTCATCTTTTCCTTATTTGAAAAAACTGGATCATTCCATATCTAAATTCTCTCTACCTCATTTTTTATTAACATGGTTCATCTATATCATAAAGTTTATCATTTGCATTTTTGTTATTTTAGAATTTGCACGTGAATGATTTATTATTCTTATTTTTTGTTTATATTGGCATTTCTAATCATTTTCATTGGATAATGCTTTTACAAATATTATGCATTTATGTCGATGATATTTTTAGTAAAACACGACTGGTTTGTAAACTCACAATCATATAGTCAAACGGGTTATGATTAATATTTTTTAAAAACATTTTTTAAGAGTTGGTCTGTTAAAACATACATACAATATAAACGTGTATATTTTACAAGTAAAATCATTTAAAGTTTTCATATATTCAATTTTTTCTTTTATTATAACTTTTAATTATATATTAGATAAATATTTTCCCCCGCGCTGTAGCGCGGGTCCGTTTCTAGTTCTTTAGTAAAAACAAAAAGAATATAACTACACTTACTTGGTATTAATCTAGCCCACGAAATCGAAAATCTAAAAGCGTCCATATTTAGCTCTTTCATCAATTTGATGTCATCCTGATTTCATGATTTTTTGGTCATTTAAAAAATCAGGTAAATAACACTAATTAAGGTTACACAATAGCAAATATAATTTCTATTTCTAATAACTAATACCTTATAATGGTGATAAAAATCGGCGGCCACATCTGCATTCTGCATTTTGGTTCTTTCTACATTTCAAAGTAACTCACTCATTATATATCTATTGTTCAATAGAATGTATATATGTATTTAGTAAAAATTAGATAATAAAAATATAAAAAGACCTGGAAAGGTGTGGCTGAAGTAATCCCAAATAGTTTGTGATTTTCCACCTTCACTTGTTGCACCTTCACTCTACATAATGGATATTAAAATTTAGACAAAATTAGAAAATTATTTTATAAGTCTTATTCTTACATTATGACCTCATGGTACTAATTATGAGATGAACAAACATCAAAACTTTAGAAATGGCTTCATGTTACCATATTTTCGTTAATGCATGTTATAATTGGAGTGTTAAAAGTACCTGAAAGGCTGAGATAGCAGTTCCAAAAATGAAATCATCAGGAAAGCTACTTCTATCAAGTACTCGAGCTTCAGGTGGAAGTGAAGTAATCTCCTGTGTAAGCCATGAAGTTACCAAAAGGAGGATGAACAATTGCATCTTCATTGTTTTTTTTTTCTTTCTCTTTTTAGTTGTTGAATTCAAAGATTTTGTTTATTTTTTCAAAGGGATAAAGAGTTGAATTTATAGACGTTAAAAACTATGTGTGTTGCTTCTTTTTTCTTAGCAAAAAGACAATACAAACAAACAAACAATGCACTTTTCTACTAATATATAAATATAAGTAAGTCTCATGACATGCATGTATATCCACATGACTGATTTTACAGATTTTGATGTCATTTGATTAATATTTATTTTTTAGCTGAAGTAGAATTGGATATTTTAGTTTTTTTTTTTTTTTGTTAGAGATAAGGTTCTAGTCACTATAATTAAAAACTAAGATGCAACTGAATCATGCAAACTTCAAAGTTACATGGCATCTTTATTGTGGATATCTAAGGGCTAAGATACCCCAAGTTTTGCAAAAGAAATATATATATAAGATACAGTATTTCCTTTGCAAAACTTGGAGTGTCTTAGCCCCATAAGATACCCCTAATAAGGATGGTTAGGTAAAAACCGATATTAAATTGCTTGGTTATTTGCAAAAATGACATTAAACTTGCAATTAGTCAGAGTTAGAATAAGAATTGTTTAATTCGGAGAATTTTATTTACACAGTAAAAGCATATTTTTATATGATAAAATCAATAGTACAAGATATCAGAGAAAATACCAGAATATATAATTTATTAATTTGTGTTAGTGTCATCGTTGTATCATCATTCGCATTTTGAATCTACATAATACATGCTGCAATAAAAAACAAATATATTAAGAAAATCAAATTATATTCCAACAGAAATGTAAACCACAAAATTAGATAAAAATAAACAGAATTAGTAATCCTAATACAATTTAGATAAAATTAGTAATGATGATGTTATCATCACATAAATAAACGGAAAGAAGTAAGTTGATTCTTACATGGTAGAGTACCTCAGGCAAAATCTAGAGTTCGCTGATTCGAGTGATACTTGGAAAAAACCATATTAAATGCTTGATTTCTAGTCCGAAAGGATGTACAGATATAGACTCGGAACCTCTTAACTATTACAAAAAAACATCTTAATCAAAGAGATGAACTTTTCTATAAAATTTTCTTTCACACTATTTAGAAGTTGGGAATTTATAAAAATTTGCAGAGAGTTGCATACGAGTTACCTGGTTGTAGGAAATTTAAGTGGCTCAATTCAAAACATATATAAAAAACAAAATGTTTGATAAATATGAGAAAGAAAGATATACACCGTTTTGGATCGGATTTGTAATCTTGATTTAGAAAAGAGAAAAAAATGTTTCTAACAAGTACATGAGAGTGATAACACAGCAATCTAAAATTGTTTAGGAACAGATGAAGATCATGGTAAGGAAGACATCAATGCGAGATATAAATATTTATATAGGTACTAAGCCAATACGCGCCATATACGTGCCGGTGTTTATAATTATTATTTGGTTTTTTTTTTCATCAAAACAAATTTTATTAATCATGAATAATGTTACAAAGTCAGTGAGATAGCCAAACATGTTGGGTTAGAGCAAGGGCATTGGTTATACCCAATCCTTGGTCCCAATAATTGTTTATTAATTTTTTTTGTAAGGGACAAATATTAAAAATTTTGGTATCAGCATTGGTGTCCTACGTTATTCGTCCCACAGATAAATAAACAATTTTTTTTATTTTTTATTTAATTTATTTTTTATTCGTCCCACAAAACTAGTATCGGAAATGTAATCTACATCAAATTTAATTATTATTTGTTATTTAAATTAATTTTCATCGGTTAAATTAATGAAGTTAAAATTTGTTCACATATTAATTCTATATAAGCAATGGAGCATTAATTTATTTAGTTATTTGAACCAAAAACAAAATAATAAAATTGGAGTTGATGTGGCAAGCATTGGAGTCAAATATATACGTAACTTCAATGCTTGCCACTAATTCAACATACATATAATTGCATTAAGTTTGCTAAAGTAAGCACGAAAAACAATTGGAGAACACTACTTGAATTGTAAGGATATGCAATTATATTTGGTTAGCAAACAATTCTTCAATTTACTTTGAAATCATAGATTTAAGGGTATGCAATCACATTTGATTTTGTGACATATACATAACTTTTTGTTCGGATTGAAATTGATCTTAATTGTTTTTGTTTGTTTATTTTGACAGCTTCTTATTTAAATGACAAACTAGGATAGGACCCGCGCTACAGCGCGGGGGAATATTCTATCGAAATGTTATATAATTTGTAATAAAAATAAAAATACACATAAACTATTGTTAATGGTTACATTTATAAAATCTGCACATTTATAATGTATGTTTTGATGGACTAATCTATAAAAGATTTCATTAATAAAAACAATATACATTCAGACTCACATCAAGTTTTGGACGGACCAACTCGTGAAAGATTGTATATTACATTTGTAGAAGAATATACATTTGTAAAAACTAAAAACTCGCAATATATTTTGAAGGGATTAACCCGTGAAAGATTTCTTTCATAAAGCCAATATGCATTTGTAATACAAACCATTAATTCACAGTGTATATTTTGAAGGATTAACCCGTAAAAGATTGAATTAGGATCGGACCCGCGCTACAGCGCGGGAAAAAGTTGCCATTATTTTTTTCGTTTTACTGTAAATGGTATTTTGAAAAAAAAATGGATTGTTAATGTTGTTGTTAGATGTTTTAGTGTTTTTTTTGTGTTAAATGGTGCATGTAAAAAGTAGTTAGATATTGAGGAAGTTGAACAAATATATTGTATTATATAGTACAATTTGACCATTTTGTAATAGTTAAAGATTGAGGAAAGTTAACAAATATATTGTATTATATAGTTTTGGTTTAAAATTAAAGCTTAATCCCTTGAACATGACAATCATTATTGATCTGATTGTGACTTTGTGTTCCTTAAAATAAGTTGCAGAACATATTGCATATTTCGTATACTCACAAACAAATGACCTAAATATAAAAGTTCTTATAACATTTTTTAAGCATTTTGATGGTATATAAGACATTACTTTTTTGATGGTATAGAAAGCATTTTCATTTTAAATGGTTTTATATATGAAGTTTAAATTTTTCTATAGTTTTTGCGCTTTATATGACCAAAGATTAAAATTTGTTTAAGAAGACAAAAATATGTAAGTTATTTAAATATCAAAATGCCAACTTAGAACCAGTATGTTATCGAGTAGCTACAACATGTATGTTTTCGAATCTCGTGTACGTAACAATCTTTAACATGTTACATTATGGAACAATATATTAAGTATCTTATATTCGCTACATTTTAATTTATTTAATACTAATTATGATGTAATATGTCTTTCTTATCATTAAGGTAATCGTAATATTTGATTGCACAATCTTAAAATTATATTAGGAATAGTTGTAAAGGAATATGTAATATATTTCATTTGATTGAATTTTTTTAAAAAAAATTTAATATGAAAGTATAAGATTGATGATAAGGTTTGCTTCTTAACAAATGTGTTATGCTTTATTATCACGTATTTATAAGGATTTTACAAATTGCAAAATTTATATTATAGTTACCTACAATTATGGAACGATACTCAACAGTTATAGAAACAATATAATTTTAAACATTTATTGCCCATAATATCTTTCTGGCAGTATCCAATATACTCGGATTATCCATTCTTAAAATATCCAATTCATGATTTCGGCTTTGTTTTTTTTAATTTAACCCGACCCGATTCCTAAATGTACTTCTCTTTTACTAATATAGAGATGGATTTGAAAGATAAAATAAAGTTGGATCAATACGTTACATTTTGTTTATTATTATATAGTTTTAGTATCCATGCATGTAACGTAAGAGAAAGACCTTAACAGATGTAGCCGATGCATGCTTACTTTATATAACAACAAATGCAAGCTTACGTTACTTTCTTTTATCCTTAAACAACTCTTACGTACGTTAATTATAACCTTGTAGCTTGCGATGTCGATATCTTCAATTTTTGCTTGTCTTTTACAACCCCTTATAAGGACTGATTCATTCGAGGGTCATAGAGATTTATTTAGCCATAGATCATGGACATACGAACACATCACTATAACGTTTAGCCATAGATCATGGAGATACGAACACATCATTATGACGTTTCTTCTTGTTTTCATAAGTTCATAACACTATAGCGTTGTTACTGTGAATTATTTGGTTATTATGGACTTCATGTCTACTAATTTATTCTTCGTTTTTTTTTTTTGTGTTGGATCATGGATGACACAAAAAAAAGCATCTTTCCTAACCAAAAAAAAAAAAGAGAACATAAACTTTATAGGTAAAAAAATTTCATATTAATTTAGCTAGATAAGATTTAATTTTGTATTTTGTTCGAAGAATGATTACATATAACTTAATATAGTTAAAAAAAAAACTAGAGACATGAAAGGTGAAGCAATTCTTGTTTCGATAAATAAGTTTTATGCTTCGAATGAACGAATCACTGATTTTTTTTTTAAATATTGTTATTATTTGTATTTAAAATACCATATTTTCTTTTCATTTGGCATATCCATGCACCTTCAAAATTTACAGCATGTAAACTACACATTCTAAATACTTAGGTTTCTACTGGTAACCATTAGAGAAACAAAAGAAAAAAGAACAAAAAGAATAATACGGAACGAAATAAACAACTTAGGCTTCTAACGAGACTTGTTGAAGGAATAATCCATAAACAATGCATACTGATTGGTCGGTCCTCTCAAAAAAAAAAAATTAGATTACATTATTTGTAGTTATGATTTAACAAAATCAAGCATTAATTATACGTTTTACGTAATAAATATAATACTAACAATGCACCACTATGGTAGAAAACTCTTAAAAATTTGTCCGCTCAAGTGAGAGAATCTCTCTTTGTTTCAAAATCGTACGATACATTTTCAAACATACAACAAAAACGAAAGAACATATATGTACACTTTACTAGTTCATGTACTTTAGAAGACATAGATTACAAAATACTTAAGACTT